TTCAAAGGGCTTTCACAGAAGTCATCTCCTAAGTTGCCTCAAGCGCTCTGAGAAGCTGCTGGAAAACTGTTTCAATCCCCACCATACAGCTGAGGAAGCCTAGCACCTGCCTAGGGCTCATGACAACTGTGGTGGAACAGAAACGGAAAACCAATGGCAGCCCAGCCCCTTGTGTCTCCCACCACGGGCGCCCTGGGACCCCTACCTTACGACCCCTGCCTGTGTTCAGCTGCTCCCCACTGGGCCAAAATCCGGGAGGGCAAGGGGCTGCCATGCCCGGAAACCAGCCCCTGGAACAATCGGGGCTGGGTGCGCAGTAGGTGGTCAGCAAGGATTTGTCGATGCCAAACAGCGCAGCCTGGCAGTTTCTTCTAAAATTGCTGGTCCGCCTACCCAATGACCCAGAGATGCCGCCCGTAGTGAGTATCCAATGTACTTGGGTGCAGGTGTCCACGAAGACTGACATGAATCCTCAGAGCAGCGTGATTCATGACAGCCCCCGACTAGAAACCCATCAGTAATCTGTCTCAGGGGCTGCTCCCTGGGGAACCCAACCTCCCCCACCCATCAACAGGAGAGCGGAAGAATATTACCATGCAGTCATACCATGGAAGACTCGTGGCCACAAAAACGAACAAATTACTGTTATCCACAGCATGGTTAAACCTCGCTGATGTGACGCTGACCTCAGAGAAGATCCAGAAAGCCCCCACCGCATGCCTCCATTTATATGAAGTTCAAAAACTGGCTAAAGGAATGTATGGTGTTAGGAATCAGGATAGTGCTCACCTTTGGGACTTAATGACTGAGAAGGGGCACAAGGGAGCCTCTGGGGTGCTGGAACTATCTTCTATCTTGTTTGGGTGATGTGTATACATGTGGAAAAATTCATCCAGGTGGACGCTCAACTTGCATGTTAATTGTACCTTAATTAAATATTGGTTAAATTCCCTTCCAGACCTAAAACTCGTATTCTGAGTGAGCTGATAAATGATGAATTATCCACAGTCCCTTGGAAAATCTGCCCGAGGAGCCAGAGTGCTTGGCTAGCACTGCCGCCTGGTGGAGAGAAACGGAACTGACTGTGGGTCTGATAACCCTGGAGGGAAATGGTTGGGGACCACGCAGGCTCCCACCTGCATCCTTGGGTACTGGTTCTCCTTCCGTCCACTTGATTCCTGCCGATGAGCCATCTAACAACTCTGTTGGGGGGCTACCATATCCTTTGGGTTAATAGCTGGACCCCCACTCTGGGCCTTGGGGGCCAGAAGTCAGGAGACAGAGGCTAGGGTGTGCCGGTAAAGTAGTCAGCCCCTAGTTAGATCTGTGCCATTATTTCCATCCTGCTGCCCTGTCCAGATATTCCTGGGCCCTGATTCTGCCGTGGACCTCCACGGGCCCTGGGACCCCTGGCTCCTGCCCTACCAGCATCAGAGCACCCTCCATGGTGTTAGTGTGGAGCCTTTCAGCAAGGGGAGCCAGAGGAGGCAGATACTGCTAGGGGGCCTACTGGCTGCTCAGAGGTAAGAGAAAGGGGAAGGGGAGGGGCTTAAGTTTGGTTTCCTGTCTTCCTTCTCCCTGTGTCCCCCTCTTCCCACACCCATCTGTCAGAATGTCTGTCCTGGGAATCTGTGGCAGCTGCCTTGAAGATGTTGTGTGTGTGTGTGGGGGTTCAACAAAAATGTATTGATTACCTCCTATGTGCCAAGCACTGTACTAATTTCTGGGTAAGCAGAGATTGAAGAAAACCCAATTTCTTGTCCCCTGGTCAATTCAAGTAGCCCTGGTACTTAGGTAAGTGCTATAAGAAAACCAAACCGAGGGGGTGCCTGGGTGACTCAGTTGGTTAGGCATCCAACTTCGGCTTAGGTCATGATTTCATGGGTTTGTGAGTTCAAGCCCTCCTTCGGGCTCTGTGCTGATAGCTCAGAGCCTGGAGCCTGCTTCAGATTTTGCGTCTCCCTCTCTCTCTGCCCTCCCCCCACTTGTGCTCACTCTCTCACTTTCTCTCTCTCAAAAATAAATCAACATTAACAAAAAAAAAAAAAAAAGACCAAACTGAGGACTGGGAAAACTATGGCTACAGTAGGGGGTTGTCATGCCCAGAGAATGGATGAAGGTTTTGTGGAGTAATAGCTATTAAAATCGATACCTACAACATGATTAGGCCTTCAACAGCAAGAAAGGAAAGAAAGGCATCCCGGGGAAGGAGGAATTGCATATGCAAAGGCATATAGAAATGTAATTGGCATATTGCCATCTGGCTGTATCAATGAAGATCAGGATTTACTTGTACAGAACAGAATATCCAAAATAATAGTGGCTTAGAGGCGATCTGTTCATTTCTTTTTCACATAAAATTAGTTGAAAGGAGGCAGTCTAGGGTATCCATGACAGCTCTATGGCTGTAAGGAGCCCAGGTTCTCTCTAGTTTTCTGCTGCACCATTCTAGCACTGGCCTCCATACTCAAGAGCACTTTAGGGACCAAAAGGGCTGCTGGAGCTCCAGCCAGCACATCAGCATTCCAGGCGGCAGGAAGGAGAAAGACCCAAAAAGGCATTCCTCTCAGCTAAGTTAACTCCCTATAAGCCAATTTACTGCAAGTCATATGTAACATTTTCATTAACATCTCATTGGCCTGAATTTTGTCATGTGGCCACAACTAGCTGTAAGGGAAGCTGAGAAATGGTGGCTTTATTGGGGGAGCTGCTAAAAATCAGGGTTCTCTTGTGAACGAAGAAGGAGAAAACACGCATTAGGTAGGCAGCAAGCCCTGTCTAGCTCAGTGGTAGAACACTGGTCCTCCAGAGTGTGGACAGAGGAGGCAGCAAGGAACTAGATCACAGGGGCCAC